CACACGGGTGGGTGGGTGGGTGGGTGGCCGGTGCTGTGGTGGGTGTCTCTGTGGTGGGTCATCTCACTGTCCCCCGAGCGACCGCTATCCCCCTGCCGGCCACCGCACCTCAACCACCACCGTCACCACCACCACTACAACCAGCTACCTCTCCCCACCACGTCCCCTCTCTCTCTCTCCTATGCATGTGTCTCTGCCCCTGTCTGTCTGTCTGTCTGTCTGCTCATGTCTGCCTCGCCGGTCTGCTGCATTATGGGTGGATGGGGCGGCGCAGCACCTACACAACCTACACAACCTACACAACACACAACAGACGGTCTGTATCGGAGAGAGAATCTGCATTGACGGTAACAGTCGTTTGTGTGCGGCCATGGGCGTCGGCGGGCCTCGCCGGCCGTCACGGTGAATGCAATTTGCGACCTCTGCTGGGAACAGAGCAGAGGCCGGCCCAAAATGGCAGGTTTCCCTGGGTTTCACAAGGGCTAGAGCAGAAACGCGAAACCCTACACATCTCCCCCTTCCCTCCCGCGCGTCAAAAATGAAAGATCCCCGATGGATTGACGGGGCGTCGTCCTGTCCCTTGTGACAGCCATCCTCATTACCCCACTCGCCCTCCGCACTTTCCTTTCATCTGACTGCCCTGAGATCTCAAGCGTCATCTCACTTGACGTGACCCAATTGAGAAGACAAGGCGCCAGGGTGTTTGTTGATGGGGAGATCTGCTCTCGCGTATGTGTTCCTGGTGGTGGTGCTGGCATGGTGCGGGTGTGGCGTCCATGCGCAGGGGTCATTCGAGCCTGACTTCGAGGTGTTGTCTTTTCTCCCCGACAACGAGGACCGCCGACTGACAGCCAAGCAAGCCATTGTTGTCGTCTTCAATCTGCCGGTATGCTATGCACGGTGTGGAGATTCCCATTCAGGTGTCCATGTCCACGTGTGTTGGTGTGTGTGTGTGTGCGTGTAGGTGATCCCGCTGGGTGCCGACTACATCACAGACGACTTCACATCACCGTTCAACATCACCGCCAACAACGCCCTCGGCAAGATACCGGGCACCACCTACTGGGTCACCACATCCATCGCACGATTCGACCCGGCCGTCGACTGGCCGAGCGACCTCGAGGTCACCGTCAAGATCAACCGGGACCTCACTAGCGTCAGCGGCAAGGCGCTGGTCGACTCACCTGCATTTGATGAAGCATCGCTGGCAAGAGTCTACAAGACCGACACTCAAAGCCTGTCTGTTGGGGTGAGCCGACACATCACACCAACCAATAAAGAGCTTGCATGACACCTCTCTCTCTGTTGTCTGTTGAACCTCTGCTCGATCAGACTGTGCGGTCCAATCGCACTCTGGAGCTGACTGGCGGGCTGTGGGCCTCCAATGTCGACAAGTGGATCGATGACGCAGACGAGGTCCCCCCGGACAGCGAGATTCGGGTGACTTTCACATCACCCGTCACCCTTAAGCAGCTGCAGACCCTCGACCCCTCCACCAACCAGTATCCCATCCGCATCGTCAATCGCAAGACCGCATCGGACATGCTGCCAGCCGACGCCTTCACCGTGGCCAAGTGCCGTCAGCGACCGACGATGCCCGTGGAGCCGCCGGGCGGGTGGCTCATGGCTGGCGGGGTCACTGCTGCAGAGGTGGAGAAACACGGGCTTAACGGGACCACCAAGTGTGTGGAGCTGCGGCTGAAGAGTGGGGAGGGATCCAGTGGTGTTTTGAAGAGCGGGGAGGTGTACGAGGTGGTGCTGCAGCCTGGCAAGGCCTACTCACCGCTGAGTGGACCATATACGAAGAGGAACGAGAGCGGGGGGAGCGACAAACCGGTCGGTCAGCACGGCCTGCACTGCATCCCACACACGCAAACCACCATTCATTAACCCCGTTGAGTCGTCGGTCGGTCTGTCCTTGTCTGTCTCTGCTGTCTGTCTTTGTGTGCGTTGGTCGACTGCTCAGCTAGTGACGGGTCTCCGCCCGTTTCGCTTCCAAGCCCGCAGGCGCTCGGTGTCAGTAGGGTCTGATCGGCTCACACTGTGGGTGCGCCACGGCCTCCCGCCCGCCATCACGGCAGACATCCTCGCCAAGCAGATCATTGTCACGCCAGCCGTCGGCGGGCTCAATGTCTCCCTCGACAATAACGCCACCGTCCGTCTCACCGGCGAGTTCATCCCCTCCACCTCCTACACGGTCGCCGTCGCAGCCAGCCGGAGCATCATCGACGGCTGGGGTCTGCCCCTCGAGAGCTCCAGCATCCCCTTCAAGACGAGGGCCGGCTCAGAGATCGTCGAGATGGCGGATTCCTATGAGCCCCTGTTCTTTCCAGTGGTGCCGGGAGTCGACGGATCGGGTGACGATTTCACATGGTCGGTCATCTATCGGCCACAGCACGGTGGGGGTGGCGATGCCCGTGCGGCGCCGACGGTCCGGTCTGCCGCGCTGTATCGCATCCCTGCTCAAGAGAGCGACATTGGTGCTTTCCTGATCAAGGCATTCAGGCCGTCGGACGCACCCACCACCGAGTAAGAGAACGGGGGCAGACCAGGCCACACACACTTTCCCATCATCCCCTTGCTACGGTCTCATCTGTGTGTGTGTGTGTGTGTATGGTCGATCAGCTCGGGCTATCTGGCGGCAGACATCAGCGAGCTGTCCGAGTCGCTGTCCCCCGCCCCGGGCATGCCCCTTCTCGCCAACGCCACTCTGGCCCCAACCGCGCCCTCACTCTACGTCGCAGAACTCCGCTACGAAATGTGCCACACGGCCGGCAACGGGCAGAACTGCTACCCCCGCATAGAGTCCGCTCTGGTCAACCTGGCCACGGCCGCAGTGACGGTAGCGGTGTCCCAGAGGGACAAGAAGGGCATGACGAGCAGGGTGACCGCCAGCGCATCGGGGCTGGCCGACGGGCTGCCCCTCGAGGGCGTCAGGATAACTGCATGGGAGCTGAGGACCAGGCGAGAGGGTAAGCGGAGACATACATGAGAAGAACAGGGGCCATGTGCACTCATTCATTCATCCTTCCATGTGTGTGTGTGTGTGTGTATGTGTGTGTATGGGTGCAGTCACTGCGGTGTCGTTGGGTTTCGGTCTGACTGAGGAGGATGGCGTGGCATCCTTCGACATCACCCCCCAGGAGCCCTGGAGCACCGTGGTGGTCGTGCTGCAGTCAGCCGATGACACGGATGCATCACAGCCGTCCTTCGCCGTCACTGGACCCATATCACGAGGCCACAGGCACTACCCCCAAGCTGCCGAGCAGAACGCTGAGGATGCGGCGGAAGATGCCCTCTCCAGCAGCGACGTGCAGGCCACCTGGACCACAGACAGGTGAACACTCACTCACACCAGCAGCAGCACAGGCGTTGCACTCTCTCTCTCTCTCTCTGTGTCTGTGTCTGTGTCTCCCAGGGGCATCTACAAGCCGACCGACACGATAGCGATTCATGGTTTCGTGGCAGCGACGGTTGAGAGGTGCGGCCGGGAGGTGACGACGGGCACAGGCTGCCCTCTTGGTGACGTCAATGAGAGCGCGGCTGAGTGGGTCGTGGCGATGGCCTGGAAGTGGGCTGAGAATACGTGTGATCTGGCTGTCGCGCCCATCGACAGGATCGGAGCCTTCAACCTCACCGTAGGCAGCAGCTTACCTCCACACACTGAGGACGCACAAACAACACGCGTCAAATCCTCGTTCTCTGTCTCCTGGATCATGATATCAATTAGGTGGAGGTGTCACCTGTTGCCACGTACGGCCCTCTCGCCACCCCTCAGCTGCTGGTCGGCCCCCCAGGCATCCTCCAGGGCGCTTCATGCACACAGGTCGGCGCCGACTGCCCCGTCGGCCAGTTCTGCGACCCCGTCATCACCCCGCAGACCAAGGGGCCAAGCACCTTGCTCATCTCTGACCCCCGGCCGCCATCGGTCGTCATGACGGTCGATGTGGCGCCCGTCTGGGTGCCCAAGACGCTGCTGAAGGTCGAGGGGAAGGTGGAGACCTACACTGGGGTGCCGCTGCAGCAGACGGCCGTGATGATCGAGGTCGACGTCAACCCCAAGGTCAAGATCAACGGCACCGACGGGACATTCTTTGCGTTCGTCAGTGAGACGCAGGAGACGCAGTGCTTCCCCGAGAAGAATCTCATGAAGATCACCAGCAACATCGTGACCGACGGGAAGGGGGAGTTCGCCGTGGACCTGACGATTGATCCTAATGACGAGTATGGCCGCATCACGCTGTCGCTGCTGGACCAGCTGCGGATGAAGGTGACGACCCGCGGTGTCACCGGGGAGTTGATCGAGGAGACCGACAACATCGTGACGGCTTACATGGGATACTTCATCAAAGACATCAAGGTGGATCCCTCTCCCCCACTCCCCGGCCGTCCCTTCCGCCCAGCCGTCTCCACCGCCCCGCACCCGGACGTCACCCCCGCTACGCCACCGGCGGGCAGCAGCACCACCCTATGGCTGTTTGAGGCCAAACACGACATCAAGCCAGACATCGAGCCATACCCCTGGTACCGGATGATGGACGACCGGCCCACGGTGCCTGCCGACTGCCGCGAGTACATTCGCTACGAGGATGGTGAGAACAGCCTCGTTTCGCCAGGCAAGATGGAGGCCACGAGCAACTTCACGCTCAAGAAGACGTGCAGCGATGTCGGTGGTGGTTTTGGTGCTGACGACGAGTGCGTGCTGACGATGGACACCTTGGCGCACTACCTGGTCGTGGCGCAGCTGGTGGTCCCCACCGTCTCATCGGCCGGCCACTTCGCCCAGTGCACCGTCATCGGCAGCACAGAGAAGGAGTGGCAGGAGTCGCCCCTCGACTCATGGAGCCCGAGCGACATCGCCGCCAAGTTCTCCAAGCCGTCCTACGCTCCCGATGAGGACATACAGCTGTCGTTCCGCAACCCGTTCGCGTCAGCAGCCAGCGCCATCCTGTTCTGGGGCATGGGCAAGTGGAAGCGCGTGGCCGACATCGGTGCAGACGAGCTGGCGACCGTCACGATAGGTCCCATGGGAGCCGACTGCCTCGAGACGTGTGACGTGGCCATCGTGCTTGCCGCCCCCATCACAAGCGACATTCAGCTGGACCCCTCGCCGCCCACGGCTGTGCTGCTACCTTCCTGGGGCCCGCAGTACGTCAAGACGACTGTTTCTGTGAAGATTGAAGGGGCCAACAATGAGCTGGCGGGGGTGAATGTGACTCTGGATCGGGAGAGCTATTCCCCCGGGCAGGAGGTGACGGTTGACATCAGTGCCGAGATGAAGGGTGAGGGCTCTGCTGCCGATGGGGTGGTTGGCGTGCTGGTGGTGGATAAGGCGCTGCTGGACATCCACCCCCACCCCCTGATGAAGCCCTCTGAGGGCTTCGTGCCGAGCAAGGCGGACCCTTTGTCAACAGTGTACGCGTCGTATAAGGGGCTGGTGTCTCGCCAGGCCTACAACACGGGACGAGACATCCTCATGCGACGAATGGCCATGGTGAGTGAAAGGGTCGGTGGGGCCACACACTCAGACAGACTCACCACCACACTACACCAAGCTCTCTCTCTCTCTCTCTCTCTGTCTGTGCGTGTCTGTGTCTGTGTTTGCGTGTGACCAGAGCCCCTGGATCGAGCCCAGCTGGCCCTCCCGGCCGGACGTCTCCGACTTGGACAAGACAGACGACGAGTACCTGGATAGATTCCTCGCTCAGCTCACCAATTTCCCCTCTGACTTCCTCTATCCCACCCCAACATCCTTCTACCAGCCACGCACCGAGAGGGCAGCACACTGGAAGGCCCGAATGGGCGGAGGGGGGCCGGTCAACGGCGTTGAGCCCGTCGCGTACGCGGCGCCGCCCAGTGGTTTTGCTCCTACTTCTGTGTCACGGGAAGCGGACGATGGAGGCGCAGGCGCGTCCGAGGAGATTCTGGCGTCTGCAGTGGGGGCGGCCAAGACCATTCGAGAGGAGTTTGCCACGCTGGTGGCTTTCAAGGTGGCCCCGTTGGATGGCCTGAGGGGACAGGTGCGGTTCAAGCTCCCCGACAACACTGGTAGGCTGGCTGCATGACACACACTCATGGACCATGCATTCATAGGTTGATTGATTGCTGTCTGTGGGTGGGTGGGCTGGATTGGTCATGTCAGGCACGTTCGTGGTGCGGACCTTTGTGGTTGGCAGCAGGATGGGCCCTGACGACAAGCATGAGCTGCAGTGGGGCTCCCAGGAGACCGAGCTGCAGAGCGCCATCGCGGTCAGTTTGCGTGTGAACATGGAGGAGGAATGTGGCTGCCATGGCACCCACCCACCCACCCATCCGTGTTTTCGTGTGTGGTGTGTATGCAGGTGTCTCTGAAGCCGTACCTTCCCCGCTTCATGCGTGTGGGCGACATGGCCAGCTTCGGAGCCGTCCTCACTGTCGATCCACAACAGGTATGTATGACGCACAGATACATACCAGACATACGTGTGTTGTGTGAGCGCATCCATCCATCCATCCGTCCATCCGTCCATTCGTTAGGTTGACGTGGGCTACGACGTCCGCCTGGAGGGTGTGGAGGGCATCACATTCCTCGGCACCGAGGAGGACAAACTGAACAGACTGAGGGTGAGGGCATTGCAATGAACAACACCTCACCCCCCCGGCGTCACACAGCAAACAAACAACACAATCATTTGATTGCCGTTTTTGCTCTTTCAGCCCACCCGCAGCACCACTCGTGTGACATGGCGCTTCAAAGCCGAGGCCCTCGGCACCGCACGCGTCACCATGAGCGTCAGGCACATCCAGACAAACCAGCTCCTGGACCAGGTCGAGGACACGTTCGAGGTCCTCCCACCCCAGCAGAAAATCACCATGGGCACCACAATCGCCATCTCGCCTGCCGCATTCAACGAAGAGGGGCGCAACGTGCTCATCGAGGAAGGCCTCAGCCTGCCCGACCTGCTGGCCGGAGTGGGCGGGGTCAATGTCACCGCGTCGGTGGGGCACTCCGGGGCCATTCTCAGCGTGACCAACACGCTGAGCAGCGGGGCGTTTGGGGGCGGCAAGGACAAAGACATTGAGCCGTATGGCGGTGCGCTGCTGGCTGTGGTGTTCAATCGGTGGATGCTGCGGTCGCAGTACGGTGTGAGTGAGGGCATGGAGGGCATCGACGCAGCCATGGACATCGTCACGGAAAAGATTGAGGAGTACATCTCGCCTAAAAACAGAAAACTTGGCTTCCTGCCGCGGCCATGGTGAGTGGTGTGGGTCGGGCAGACAGACACACAGACAGAACGAGCAAAAGGCGTACACTCACTCTTCGTGGTTGATGCACGTGTGCATGTGTGTGTGTTCAGGTCGACATACACGCAATGGTCCCGCCCCTATGCATCCCTGAACCTGCAGCTGACGGCAACGGCCATCCTCGTCGGTCAGGAAGCCGAGTTCGCCCCCCTGGTTGAGCGGGAGAGTCTCTTCAAGGACCGCATCAAGGACAAGCTGAGGGTGGGTAATCACATGACATGAAACACTGGCAGGCACAGTGAGTGGCACTGCACTGATGGCATCCGTCCGTCGTGTCTGTCTCCCGCTGTGTGTGACCGACCATGTGTGCAGAAAGAGGTGTATGAGTGGCAGGAGGCCAAGAGGAAATCTGGTTCCAGGTCGACGTTCATCGAGTGGGTCGGCGTCTCCACCGTGGCGCTCCTCCGCTACGTGCTCGGGTCGACCTATGACTTCAACCTGCCACCGGGTGTGGACGGCGCTGACCTCTCCTTCAAGACGCTCCTGACTCAAGTGGCCAAGGAGGAGTACGCCTTCACATCTGCGCGATACTGGGTAGGCGGGGCGGGCTTGGCTGGTGGGCTGGCTGGCTGCACGCACCGATCCATCCACGAGTGGGTTTGTTACCTACCGGCCGTCTGTCTCTGTGTGATGTGCATGCATTAATGTGTCTGACAGGCTGTGTTGACTCAGCTGAAGGAGGGCCTGACGAGCTCCCTGGCCGCCCCCACAATGGCGGCCGCCCGCGACAACTTCCGCATCCAGGGCCCCACAGGCTATGTCGCCAACAGCAAGGGCGGCGACTACCCTGCCAGCGACATCGAACAGGTGCGTAGTCAGCCCACCAATCCATCATTCCCATGCACATACTTGTCTGTCTGATTGGGTGTCTCCCCTTGGTTCATTGCTGTCAGGGTTTGGTGCTGCTGCTGTGGAGCTATGACAAGGAGTTTGCCACGCATCAGTTCGCTGCCCGCGTGGGTCTGTTTCTCGCGCAGGGCGGGTCGTCGGGCCTCTCGCCATGGACCAGGGGGCTGTCGCCGTTCGCCGCCATTTGGGGGGCCAAGGGCATGCGGCGACTCGACGGAGCCACCCAATCCGCCGACCCTAACCTGACACTTGAGGTGGGGAGAAGCCACAAGAGACATCCATCCTCCCTTGGCTGTCTGATCCGACCGTTTGTTTACGGATGTTTGGGTGGAATTTGATGTAGGTTTCTTCCGGTGCAGCGTCCCTTATAAACACCACTTTCACCAAGGCCGCCCCCGGCCCTGTCTCAGACACTCTGCCATGGACGAGCGAGCAGCTTGACCTCACCGGCCAGCCGCCCAAGATCACCTTCGACGCCGCCGGCACCGGCTCCGTCTTCACCTCTCTCTCCATCGACTTCGTGGCCGCCTCACCGGCGTCCTACCCCACTTACAAGGGCATCCTCGTACAGAAGCGGCTGCTCCGCCACGACAGCGTCAAGGGCTGCACGGGGGAGCATATCAACGCCACAACCAGCGGGCAGGTCGTGTGTGTGGTCGCGTCTGTGACCGTCAAGGACTACATGAATGACGTCGAGATCGCCGACGAGCTGCCCGCCGGGCTGGAGGCTTTCGACCCCCATCTGAAGGGCGATGGCGGCCCGCCCGGCGTGATGCCTTTGCCCCGCCGCAGTGGGGGAGGGGCGGTGGATGGCAGCTTCTGGAGCTCGCTGTTCAGCTATCGGTGGTTCCCCATGTGTTCACAGCAGACGATGCGGTCGAGGGTGCTCTTCTCGTGCAGCGCCCTGCACCCCGGCGAACACACATTCACATATCAAGCACTGGTGCGTGTGCCTCCATCCGTGTGGTGTTGTTGGTTGCTGTTGTATGTCATCTCTCTCTCTCTCTCTGTGTGTGTGTGTGTGTGTGGCATAGGCGAATGTCGAGGGTCTGTATGTGCTGCCGCCGATCCACTCGTTCGTGAGCTCTGCCCGTGAGGTCATGGGGCTGTCGGCCGCCAGCTACATGGCCGTCCAGTCAGACAGCGACACACCGGAGACCGACTACACTGACATGCTGCTACCTATCCAGGTGACCCACCAACACACATACACAACACACATACCCACGGGCACATTCACTCTGTGTTTGTGTGTGTGCGCGCAGGTGTCTGGTCGGTCGTTTGTGTTGGCCCCCCAGTCGTGTCCGGAGTGCCCTGTGGGTAGTTCCGGGTGTGACGTGTCCCGCGGGGTGTGTCTGTGCATGGACGTAGCTCACGGGAGGGAGGTTGACTGCGATTCACTCGACGTGCAGGTGAGATGATAGATAGAACGGGAGGGCCCTAGATAACTACTGGGTAGTTTGCTACGCAGCAGGCAGGGAGGGTAGTCCATGGAAGAGAGTGCTGTGGTCTGTGTGGTCCGATTATGCCGCTGTGGTGTGGCTGGCTCAGTAGTGAGTTGTGTACATATATATGTACGTGTGTATGTCCGTGTGTGTGTGTGTGTGTGTGTGTGGCGACCGACAAGAAGACACGTGTATGTTTGTTGAGCCGGCCAGTCCCTGAAGAAATGATTGGTCTCTCTCCTGTCAATCTCTCCCTCTCCTTGCTTGCTGCAGTCACCTGTGGACCCCACGGCAAATGGCAGCGAGCCTCCCACCTTCCTTACCAGCTCTACCGGCTCAACGGTACACAGACAGCCACACAATCGCAGCCCCCTCACCACCCGTCTGTCTATCTGTGTGTTGTGTTGTGCACACATCCATGGCGGTCAGGGTCCCACTCTAGCGCGAGCGGAGAAATCCGGCGGGGGCACCACCTCGGGGGCGTCATCAGGGTGGACTCCGTCGAGGACCGTCCTGCTCTTCTCACTCGTGTGGCTCCTGCAGGGGGGATGGGCTGCACGGCGGGACGAATGAGGCCAGGCGGCTGGTGGGGCGGGAGACAGACACGTGACGTACGCGGTGATCTGATCAATCGTCGTTTTTTCCCGTCTTTTTCTGAATCGATGGATGAAGGGGTCAGGTGGGGTGGCTGACTGACCTGCGTGGTGGCTGGGCTGCAAGCCGTCGCTGGATGGATGGATGTGTAATGTACATAACTAACCTACACACATACGTACGGTTACACTGGTCTGTCTCCCGTGCTGTGTGCGGGTTCGCGCACCTGTGTTTGTTGAATAGCCTTCCCTCCCTCCCTCCCTCCCTCACTCACTCACTCCCAGACAGACAGACAGACAGACACAAGCAATCCAGTTTGTGTGACTGAGTCACACACGTTCTTTCGTGGTTTGTTTATTTTCCTCTTTCCCTGTCAAATCAAGTCAAGCCAAGTCTATCGGAAGGAAGAAGGACCAAAAGAGACCCAAGAGATGAGAAGAGAAGATCGAAAGTATCTTTCTTGATGTTTTTTGATGCGCCGTTCGTTCATTCGTTCGTTCATGGTGTGGTGTGTGTATTTGTTTGTTGGCGCGCGTGGGTGTGGGGTGGAGGGGGGGGGGAGGCGACGGACCGAGGAAGCAAGTAGGTGGGCGGAGGGGGCGTGGGAGTAGCCCGAGGCAGCAACGATCGACGCCACAGACCGATAGAGAGACACGCAGAGAGAGAGGGGGAGCTAGTTGCTCAGGCAGACTAGGTGCGCCGGTGTGTGTTGTGTGTGTCCGTGTGTGTGGCCGCGTGTGTGTCCGTGTGTGTGTGTGTGTTGGGCTGCCTGTCGCATCGTCGTCTCTCCCTCTGTGTTAACACAGACAGACAGACAGTCTGATGCTTTGCTGTGGTGTGTGTGGCCTACAAAGCGGCCAGGCCCTCTCACCGGAGCTCTGATCAATGATCTGTCAGTCTGTCTGTCTGTCTGTCTGTTGCGACGAGGGAGAGAGGACTCTTTTGGTGGATTTCGACCGTAGTGCGTTGAATGCGTGGCAGTCCAAGTAATATGTGTGTGTGTTGTTCCCAGTACTTACTGACTGACACCGCTTACCTAACAGAGACACCAACCACCCCCACACCAAGGACGGGACGAGACACACAAACGGATGTCGAGCTTCTGAAGCTGAATCAAGCGGCCAACGAATACGAAATGAATGACACGCGCATACAGAAACATTCGTCCTGGTCGACTTTGTGCGCAGCTTAAGAAACAAGGAACGATCCGCATGCATGCCATCGGGGGGGGCGTGGGGGCCAACACGAAGGGTTCAAGTTGAAGTTCGGGACTCCGAAGCTTGCTGAGCGTGGCACGCTCTTACGAAACAAAGTGTATATCCGTCCGTTTGTCCGTAATTGGGGCCAAGCCAGCACTTCCTTCGGTTCCCTGGGTCGCGCGAGCTTGGCGGCTTTGCATGCATTGCGAAACGCACGGGCGAACGCGTAGCGAGTCCCGCCAGCCCGACGGAGGAGGGAAATTTCATTGAAGTGAGGGGCGATGACGTCGGCAGCCAGCACACCAGGCCGCCGACCGAGTGCCGAGGACAGGCCGCTACTGGAGGGCTTGTACGGCTTCCAAGGGGAGCCGCACCTCGTCTCACTTACCAAGGACGAGGTGCGGCTCACCCTTGCTACGGTCTCATCTGTGTGTGTGTGTGTGTATGGTCGTTCAGCTCGTCCTCTCGCTACCGGGAGCAAGCAAGATTTCTCCCAACACCCCTGCCCGCGACGATGCATCGTGAGCACCACAGCGAGGGCACTGCCAGGACCAAGGCTCGGATTGCGTCAGACTATCCTTGGATCGACTTCATTCAGGTCACCTGTTTCAGCCGGAGAAGGGGCAACAGTGGTGCGGCGCGTGGCGACGTCGACGTTCCTGCGAGCATTTGTCCGCACGCCAGCCCTCGCCGGGACCGTCCCGCCGTCCATCGAGTTTCAAACAAACGCAGGCGAGACGTAAGTGCATGCAGCGCCGTGTGCATGATCATGATGAGCGTCTGTACACAACACTTGGGCGACCGAAGGTCTGGTCTGTGTGTGTCGCTTGCCTGGCATTGCCTGCAGCATTGTGCTTCGGATGACTTACCTACTCGAAGGTGGCAATATTGATCCGGTTGAGATGCGAATCGCGGTTGTCACAGCCAAGAAAGCCATACGCGCGCTCGGTCACGTCACCGTAAGAAAGCTTAGGAGCATCGTCAACGCAACGGCACACACACGCCCCAGGCAGAGAGTCCATGCACCTGCCCTGTTGTTTTGTTGCCTGTCTGTCCATCGATCCTGCAGCTGAGCGAGCTGAGGACAGACGCCCCCGAAGCTGAGATGAAGACCCTTGTGGCGACCCCCCTCTCCCCCAAGACACCAGCAAGCGAAATGATCGTCGGCAGGGTCAAGACCAAGACGACACTCTTTCGGATTCAGAAGGAGAGCCAGCCGACATTAGCGTCGCCGACGAAAGCCAAGTCGGCGCCGGCCAGCCCTCGCCCGGGACCATTAGAGGCGGTGACTCATCTGGCGGAGTGCTGGGGCACGGTGGTCGACGGGCCTGTGGACAGACTGGAGGGCAAGGGGGATCCGCAGCTGGGGGGGCTGCTGTGTCTCACGCTGCAGCAGGACAGGCTCCAGGTAGGTACGTGTCATTTACTATGCGAGCAAGCAGAGGAAACCGAGGGCAGCATTTCGCAGGACCTTCATTGTGTTGTCTGTCTGTCTGCCGTGTCTATCATCATTTGTATTAGCTTCATACTGATTCGCCATCCATGTCAGCATCTGGCGAGCGCAGCGGCCCTCGCTGTGTCACTTCCGTACTAAAGCAGCCGGGAGAATCGTCCCTCCTAAGCAACGAGTAACCTTTGCCATCCCTGGAGGTGTGGAGGCTCAGGAAGTTGTTGAACAACAGGACCAAGACGCCGAGAAAGGGGCCCGATTAAGGCCGCTGGCCCCTCCGCCCGAGCTGTTATGGGAGGAGCCATGTGTCAACATATTGGCGATACAGCTGAAGAGGACCCTGAGGGACGAGACATTCCCTACCATGACGTTCCTCTGTGCAGACGGGGTAGGGTACGGGCATTGCATGCGAGAAACACGCTGCATGTACCTCATTCGTGTGTGCGTGTGTGTGTGTGTGTGTGTTGTCAGGTTGCTGTTGCGCTCAAGTTTGAGGTGCACAAGGCGCCTGAGACTCGGCGGTCGACCACCACTCCAAGCAGCGACTTCACAACCGTCCTGGGCAAGTGGAAGACGGGGCTGAAGAGGTGCAACATCCAAGTAGATGAGCAGCGCGAGATGCGACACACACCGGGGCTCACAGCTTTCCGCCCCGAGGCACCGCTGTCACCCCCCCGCTCCACAGAGTCACTGACGCCTTTGCTCTCGCCGACCTCTCCAGTGAGTCAGTCACCATCCGCGTCTTCTCCCGCAGTCGCCTCATCTCCCGAACTTCAAGCTCTGGTGCCTTCCCCGAAGGCCAAGCGCAAGGCTAAGAAGAAGAAAAGGCCGCCGCCCCCGAAAGCTGCGGGAAAAACCGTCACGCAGCAGGTTAAGACTGTCCCACCCAAGGCAGTGGAAGAGGTGTCTCTGGGTGAGCCGGAGCCATTGCCGAAGAAGAAGGAGAGGGTTTCGGTGGGATCTGAGAGGGCCCTCACTGGCCAACACGACAAACAGGATTCGGTAGAGACGGCAAACACGACGCCGAAAGGAGAAGACAGGAAGGGAAGGAGCTGGAGCTGCTGCCTGAAGGGGTGCCTTCTCTGTCTTCCCTCTTTGAGGCTCTTTCCGACAAGATAAACGCACGTCGGAAGGTTGCGTTGCCCCGCCCGCCGCCCACCTCTGGTACTTTGTTTCTTGACTGCTTGCGCCTACCGAACGACAGCTTTTTGCTTTCTTTCTCCTTTTGAGGAGGAGAGAATGGTATGGGTACACTCACTGTCCTTATATGCAGCTCTGGCTGCAAGTGTCGGTCGCTTCATGGCCCGACTGTGTCTCTCACACACAAGTGTATGTCTTGCCTTCGTAGAATTGAGCGACTGCGTTGCGACTGTGGGTGGGTGGGTGGCCTGGTCTGGTGTTGGCCTGCGTGCGTTGGTCTTCGCGTATTAGTAGTACGCGGGGCGGGCGGTATGTGTATGTGCGATTGGAGGGAGGGACAATGCATTCAATGCATGATCCGATAGATAATCGAATCCGCCATCACGGTGCGCACCGCACATGCATACATCTAGCGGTCATGTATGTCTCTACCTATCCATCCAGCCGCTATTAGTAGATGCACCCGCGCACACTGTCGTGGTCACGCTTCCGGACGGGCACAGTCAGCGACAATATTTGCTCCCTCTCACCCTCCGATTCATCGTCAACCCCCTCCACCTCTTTCGCCCCCCATAGGCCTCTCTCGCACTTGCCGCCAACGCAGCAGTCAACCTGCGGCGTGTTCTCGCCACTCTGCTGCCACTGCTGCTGCTTCAGATGCTTCACCTTTCCTGCCAATTTGATGCGGTCTTTGTGCAGCCGGGGACGGGTGACGGGCGCGGGAGGCAGCAGAGACAGAGAGCCGCTCTTGGGCAGTGACGGGGCCAGCTTGTGCTGCGAGTTGGTGTGGAGGCGGCTCGTGAAGTGCCCGACGCACGACGCATACATACGGGGCGGGGGCAGATGGTGAGGCAGGCGGGGTGCCAAGAGGCCAGGGGGCGGGTGGTGGCTGAGCGTCGTCCGGTGGGTGGGGCTGATCGGTGGAGACGTCTGAGCTGGTGGGGAGGGGAAGAGAGACACAGACACCTGGCACACAGGCGGCCGTACGATGGCAGGCCTCCTCGGTGGTGCTGGTGGCGGTGGCGGCGGATGGGCAAACAGGTTCAAGGGCCGGACGGGGACGGGGATGTGATGCAGATGGCGAGACATCATGTTGGTTGAGTCGATGCTCATCGTCGGGGCGTTTGTGAAGGCCCGGGTGCTCTGCTGGCCTGTCAGCACCGAGTGGTGGTGCACCGGCGACTGCATGACGGACACGCTCCTGTTGTGGAGCGTGTGGCGCATCACCAGTGGGCTCTTCATGTCGACGTAGACCGGCTCCTTTGCGTCAACAGGGCTGGCACACTTGACCCTGGCCGACGGCAGGGGCGACTCCAGGCAGGGCAACATCTCAGTCGGCTCCTTGGCCTCAATGGCATGGATCTTCTTTGTCCCCTGCCTTCGCACCCCCTTCCTCTCCCTCTCTCCGCGGTGGGCCTTGCTGGTAGCTGCAACAGCGTTCAAGCGCTTCAATGGCGGCGGGGGCGCTTTGTCGCCGCTGCTGGCTTTTCGCTTGATCACGGGAACCCGGGGCGGCTTCTTGGCTTGGGTTGTGGCAGGAGGGTGGGAGTGCCGCAGACGTGTGGTGGTGACCGGGTGCTGAGGTTTCTCCAGGACGGTGAATCGAGACACGGGCGGCCCCGTGGCGATTTTGCTGGCATGAGTCATCGGCAGTCGTGTGGTGAAGGGGCCGAGGTGGGTGTGGCTCTTGGCTGGACCAAGGCAGCCCGTCTTGTGTGTGTGCGGGGCGTGCGGGGTGTGCTGGAAGGGGAGGGAGGCCCTCATGGGAATGTGGTGGTTGATGCGGCCTCTCGCCGAGTTGCAGCGCCGCATCGCCGTCATCTTGATGTCCTTCTCCCTTGCTGCATTGCTGGTGTCCCGCGCCATGGCCGTATGAGTGGGGCTGAAGTGTCTGAACCACTCCGCCATGTTGCTGCGGAACGCCCTGCCAGAGGTGCTGCCAAAGAGAGTCGGCGGGGGGTAAACAGCTGCAGGCAGCGTGGCTTTCACCTCTGTCTCATCCATGTCTCTGCTGCCGAATGAGGGCAGATAGTGCTGATGTGTCTTTTCACCGCCACCGACGACAGAGAAAGTCGGGATGGCCCTCTCGGTAGCAAGCGGGGCTCCCGGCTGCGGATGCTGCGCGCTGTGCATGTTGATGTTGTATGTGGCGTGTGCGGCAGGGGGAAAGGGCGGCGGATAGACATAGTCCTGGGTGAAAGTCCTGTATGGCGCCCCCCGGTAGAAGCCGTCTCTCGTGTCGCCCAGCACATCCTCGCTCTCATTGTCGGTGCTGTGCGGCACTAGAGGGCCGCCCCGGCTGGAGGAGAAGGCGATCACCGGAGACAGGATCTTGAGCGGCTCACGAGCAGTCAGCTGCCCCTCCCCCTCCCTCTCTCTGCTTCTGCTGCCCTCGCCAGTGATGTTTCGGCGGACCACTTTGCCCTGCTGCTGCAGCTGGGGGTCCACGCCCTGCAGGATGTCCCGCATCGAGTCGGCTCGTTTGAACAGGGTTGCCCGGCCGCCCAGAGACCGACCTGCAAACACCGAGGCAGCAAGCAATAATTGAGAGACAGTCACTGAGCTCCAATTGTAAGTACTGGGGAGTATATGCCTACGGTCGCCGGGCAGGAGGGCTGCGGAGGTTGTGGATGACCCACCCCGGTGCTGGCGTGGCGACATGCGGCCCATGACGGCCAGCAGGGGAGAGCTGGTCACGTTCTTGGAAGGAATCATCGTCCAGTCAGCTCAAGTTGCTTCTGAGACAGAACCAAGACAGGCCAGCTGGGGCTGAACGGCGTGCGATGCATTTCTGCACTGCAGTGGTGTCGGCTTCCACCCCACGCACCTGCTTGCTCGTTCGGAAGGAGGATTTGATTTGCGGAAAGGACGATCAAATGAATCCAGCCGTTTAACCGTTGGTTGAGCTTGCCCCAATCCCACCGGTGTCTATAGATCTTATTTCTAGCTACGGACGTCATATGTTTCTCCACCCCCAAGGTCGGCTGGCTACAACACGCCCCGAGCTGGCCGAAATTGCCCACAAATCACTGTGCCGACCAGTATTTGCCTTGGTACACCATGGTCAGGTTCCATTCATCCTCGTCCACTCTCGTTCATGGCAACCAAGCACCCACCTCCCCGCCCGTGTCAGCCAGCTCCAGCCCCGGCGGCATCGCCTTGGTGCAGGTGGGGGTTCGTGGTGAACATCTTGAACAGATACGTCACCGAGTACACCAGATACTGCCCCGCCAGCAGCGGGTGGTGCCCCAGCAACGCCCACGTCACACGCGCGATGTTGGCCACCGTCAGCACGATCGCGAAAACCACGTGGGCCAGCCAGAATATGGCCATCAGCGCCTTCCGGACAGGGTCTAGGTGGGGTAGGGAGCTGCTGGCCGCTGCCTCCTCTGTGAGCAGCTCGGCTGGCACGGCCACCGCGCCGCAGAAGAGCATCAGCACCGTCCACAGGATGGAGAACTTGAGGCCCTGACCAGACACACACAGACAGAGAGATAAAGAGGCTTCAGAGGGCGGCTCATAACGCAGGCAGGCAGGCACGCAGGAAGGCAGGCACCTTGAGTTGGATGAGGAAGGCGATGATGGTCATCAGCACACAGCCCGCCTGAAGTGCACAACACACCCACACACAGACCGACGGATGGATTGATGGATGTGCGTAAGGTCATCGATCGGTCGGTGTCCTCTCTCTCTCTCTCTCTCTCTTTTTCTCTCTCTCTGTGCCCGTGCGTGTGTGTGTGTGTGTGTGTGACCTGGAGCATGGGGATAGCCCTGCAGACGTCGTATAGGAGCATCAGCAGCTTCACCCCGTAGTAGGCCCCCATGCACAGCACAGCCACACCCAACATCGCCTGGGGGGAGCGCCAACACACACACCACACCAACAGCCAAGAAGATACACTCACACGGGCGGGCATCTGGTTGTCTGTCGGTGTGTGTCGGTGAGTGACATGCATGACTCACAATGTCCCAGTGGAAGACGAATAGCAGGCCGATGAGGGCGAACCACGAGGCCTTGAAGGACACCAGCACCATCAGCCCCAGACACACGTAGCTCGTCGATCGCCTGCAACAGCAACACACACACACTCACCATTGCAATGTATTGCGTGCAGCTAACTTCACCTTCCCTCCCTTCCCCCCGTCATGCATTGCACCTGAGCCATGCGACGCACCGGACGTCGTTGCCGGCCTTGACCAAGGACTGATAGAAGCCCAGCAGGTAGGGAATCAGACAAAACACCTCCGGATACCAACTGACAGACAGACACACCACAACACAACACACCGCACCGCCACACAGAGAGAGACCAACCAATGACAGACAATGAAGGACACGCGCCGTCCTTTGTGTCATCCAATCCACCTCTCTCTGTGAGTTGTCTGTGTGTGTCTGTGTGCCTGGTGTCGTTGAATGCGCCGAGGACGGACAGGCTGATGCCGATGAAGAGGTCGTTAAAGCGGTGGTTGATGAACTCGGGATCCACCTCGTCGAACAGACACAGAAACACCGCCCGACAGGACACCAGCCACGAATACTAACAGACAGAAAGACAGACAGACAGACAAGACTCATCCACACACACACAGCAGTGTAGTGAGTGTCCCTCCCTCCCTCCCACGCACCCACGCACCTTGAAGGTGGCAGCCCCCCATAGCAGGAGGCACATGGCGATCTTCCACATCCACCTCCAGTGGCTGCCCGCCCACCACGTCCAGAAGCACCCCATCAGAGCCATCCGGAACTCCAAATTCTGCACCGTCCACTGCTTGCAGAGGTGCATGTCGAAGACCTTGAGCACGGCCCAGTGCAGCGGGTTGTGGACGGTGTCAATCTGCCCGTTGTACCTCGTGACGGCGTCGATGAACTGCACGCGTGTGGGGGTCATGAGCTCGGGCGACGAGAGGTAGCTGGCGATGACGCTCTCCGAGTCGGTCGTCTCGTTGCGCCCGTACTCGTCGCAGAACACTATGGCATTCTGCACCAGCACCGTCTCGACCTGCACAGACAGATCACACCAGACATACACACATAGATAGATCTCCTGTTAACTGAGTGTGTGCAGTGCATGTGATGTGCCTGCTTGTCAGCTGATGTGTCGATCGAATGATCAGACAGACCTCCTGAGGCGTGACGTCGAGTATGTCGAGCTGCTGCTCCTTGTCGAAGCGCATCCACAGCTGCAGCACCTCCTCCCGCCCGTCGGCGACAGTGAAGCCGCCCTTCCAGCCCATCTGGTAGTAGGCGGGACTGTCATCGTACCCATCGGCGCCGCTTGAGCCCTTGCGGCCGGGCGCTTCGTCGGCGTGGCCCCTCCGGCGCTTCTGCTTCCGTCGAAACTGCGGCATTCAATCTGATCTGATCTATCAAGATTCTCGAGCTGCAGTTGCTGGTAGTGTTTGCCTCCTGCTGCCCTGTTCTCTCGCCTGTTTGTGGTTTGTTGCGAGCTCGCATGGATCGGGTCAACACCTGGTCCCTTCCAGAGGTCACATATCTGATCCATTCATGTCGAGAGAGGCAATCGGGGTATCCTGGTGAGGTGATGCAGGAACGTGTCGAGAGCGGCTGAAGTGCGTTGTGGTGAGCCTAGATGGGCCAATTGATGGCGCTGCAGGATGGAGCGTAGCTGCTGCCTAACCGGAGGGGCTGAACAGACGGCCACCGGCAGCGCTCATGGATAGCACAGGTGCGCACAGAGAGAGCAGCCGCTGCCTCCTGTCCATGCATGCCGTCTGATCTGCTGCCGATTCGATTCTTCCGTTTGATTCCCAGACAAACCTCCCTCCATCTCCCGTGTGGTGTGCCTGTCCGTAGTCATGTTTGCGGACGCCCATCGGCCATACGCCGTCGCCCGCGGCCAAGCCGGCGGGACCTTCGCCGACGCCCAGACATGCCTCTCTGCTCCCTTTGCCAACCGGCTGGGCGTGCGGTTCTACCCCCACGTCAGCGGCACCTTGGGCGACGGGAGGCGGGACAACCGGCCGGCGTACCTGCGGCAGAGTGCGGAGTTCTTTTTGCGGCAGGTGGAGGACAGTGTCGATAAGGCGATGGGGCCGGTGGCGAGGGACGTGTCCGGACTGATCGCGGGGATCGGCCAGGAGTGCGGTGTTGGGGGGCTGCCGGTGGTGCCTTTGCTGTGCGGCCCGAGCGAGATCGACCAGGCCAACCTTATGCGCCTCCTCGCCAGCGAGCTGGCCGCCAGGCTCCCCGACTGCCACATCGTCGACATATCCGACACGGATGGCGGCCTCTCGGCCCTGCTCAAGCGGCTGCCCTGCGGCACGGACACCCACACCCATTCCACAGATGCACACGACGCACACCAAGATGACCAGCACACCCCTGCTGCCCCTGCTGCCCCCCAGCGCGAGCGCCGCAAGTCGACCGCACGGGCGAGTTTCGTGTCCAAGGGTGCGGAGCTGGCGAGGGAGGAGCAAGCCGAGCGGCGACGCAAGAAGCGCACCCAGGTGGACAGTGAGGATGAGGAGGGGGAGGGGGAGGCCATCGCGGACCTCATCGACGACAATGGCGAGTCGCGGCTGGCCAACTGGTACCGCGAGGAGGCCGACAAGAAGGGCCGGCGGTTCTCCATTGTCGTGGTGGCGCGCGACGTGGCGGCCATATCGATGTCGCTGCTCAAGTCCATCGGCTCCGTGCGGCAGGAGCATGGCATCTCCCTGTTCGTCGTCTTTGGTGTTGGGGCGGGGTGTCTGGAATTGCACATCCCACCCATGTGCTGCGAGATGGAGGCCGCCGGCCTCCCCATCTGTGTCCACCCCTACCAGCTGCTCGACGTGGCCGAGCTCATCAGAACCAGCGTCCTCCCCGCCCTCGTGCTGGGCCCCTCCCTTCTCCCCTTCCCCCTCTCACCGCACCACGTGACCGAGATCCGACAGGACATCGAGATGGGCAGCATCACCCTGTGGCAGTTTTGTCGGCGGGTCTGCCACCTAATTGTGGAGTTCTATCAGTCCCCATCCTCGGCGGTCGTGCGGCCCGAGGGGGGCGACGACACGACGGCCGATGACACAGCTGGCGAAGGGGAGGGGTGGGACACCTGGGGAGCCGGCCCGGAGGAGATGGCCAAGAAGAAAATAGCGGCATTCCCTGCACCCCCCCAGTCAGCGGCAGCAGCAGCAGCTGCTGCGGCGCCCGCCAGTGCGGCCTTGAGCACCGGTCCGTCGTTCCCGGGCGATGCGGGTAAGGCCTTCGATGCGACGCGGTCTGTGGTGGCCTTCTACGAGGGTGCGGCCAAGCGGCTGGCGAAGCAGCAGGTGGCGCATCTGCAGGGGCTGGCGGCTGCCGCCTTGAGTAGGATGAATCGGAATCACGTCAAGGGGCTGCCTGAGGGAAGGGAGGCCGCCCGGGGGTACTACACCAGGCTGCTCAAGGCCATCAAGGACAATGCCATCAAGGACAATGCAGGTGTGTGGATCTTCTGCGGCAGACAGACAGACAGACAATGCATCTCATCGGCTGTGCGTGTGGTTTTCTGTACTCTCCGTTGCTGTCAGATGACGGTTCCGTAGCGAGACTGATGGCGTGGCTGAGGAGTGCCCGAGAACGTCACGTGCTCGGCCTCAAGCTGTACCACCTGGCGGCGGTCGCCTTCAGCAACCAGGGCGTCAGCACGTCAGACGGCGCCTCACACCTCGACCTCGACAGACAGGAGGTCACCGGCATAATGGCCGCCACCGCCCCACGACAGCCTGACGAGCCCCAGCAACCGACAGGTGCGCTGCACACACTCACGGATCCAGACAGACAGACAGGCAGACAGACGTGGCGGTGTTTGTATCTGTCTGTGTCTGTGTCTGCAGGCATGAGCCCCATCCTCCCCCACGCCCCCATCCGCAGCCCCATCGCGGACCTCTCGCATCATGTGGACACCAACATGACCCGCAGCTTCATCACCGCCGGCACGCAGAAGGGCAGCAGAGTGCCAAGTTTCCTTGACCAGGCCCGCCGGCTGCTGCGCCGAGAGATGCCCGCCCTCACGCAGAGGCAGAGGGACGCCCGAGGGATGCAACAGCAAGGAGGAGTGGGAGGGGTGGCGGACAAGGACGAGGCCGTCGTGGTCGAGTCGATTCAGTGGCTGATCGAGCTGCTCGAAGCCCTGCGTGGCGCCTACGCATTAGGCAAGGGCGGGGCTTCGAGCAGTGGGGCCAGGCAGGGCGACAGCAAGGCGTCGCTGCCCGCCGGCCTGCGGCAGCACCAGCAGGCGGTGCGGGCGTACGTCGACAGCAAGAAGCTCAGCAACTTCGAGCAGCGGATCAAGGCCGCCCAGGCCAAGGTGGCCGCCAATCGGCCGTCGGGGCCAGACCGTGATGCCCAGCTGCGCGAGTACGTGGCCTTCTGGCTGCACGAGACGCTCCTGGCCCTGCTCTCGCCCTTGGTGTGGGCGCGCCCCCTGTGCGACCGATTTCCTCTCCACTCGGGCGCCAGCCATGGTCTCGACGCGCACCAGCCCGCCGTCAGCACCCAGATAGCCATGGCGCAGGTGGCCAAGGGGCGGCAAATGCGGCTGCCCGACCTGACCGTCATGTACCGCCTGTACGAGAAGAACCCGGGTCTCAACATGCAGCTGCAGGACTGGTTCGTCGCCTTTGCTGAGACCATCGTGCAGCACGAGACTCCGCTGAGCCTGAGCCTGGTCTCCCTGCAGGCGCGGTTCGCCGTGTGTGTGGTGTCGCTCTCCCGCATGGGCGTTGTGAGCATGCCGGCCCACCACCTGGCGAGGGCCGCTGGGTGTCGTGGTTTGGACGACGAGGAGGACGGTGAGGAGGATAAGGGTGGTGTGGCGACCAAGCTGCCCAAGATGCTATTCGGCAAGGTGTGGTACACTGATGAGATGGAGAAGCAGGACAAGAACGACAAGATGCAACAGAAGCGACGCGCCTCCATGGTGGGCGAGCCGAGCCAGTCCCAGCAGACAGACAGACAGACAGGCGGATGCCGGCCATTCATTACCCATCGTCAACCTCCCTCTCCCTCTCTCTGTGCGTGTGTGTGTGTGTCTGTTGCCAGCCGGCTTACCTCCCTGCGGCCGCTGCAGCGGGCCTCTTCGGTGGCGGCCCGCCACGGAGACGCAACCGGGCAAGTCAGATCAGGGCCAACCAGACCAGCAATGACAACAAAGACGACAACGGCGAGCCCAGGACTCCCGATCGCCCAGCGCCGCCGGACCGGGCTTCCCAGGACGGCCCCCACAGCCCCAGCCCCCACAGAAACCGAAACCTGAGCATTGCCAGGCACCAGAATTCGCAGCTCAAGAGCCGGATGTCTTTCAGACTCGAGAGGCTCGAGTCCAACCACCGATTCCGCTTTGACGATGATCGCATGGAGACGCCGCCCCATTCCCCGCCGCGGCCCAAGGGCCAAGCCAAGCCGAAAGGTCGGCCGAAAGCGAAAGCCAAGCCAAAGGGTCGGCCGAAAGCGAAAGGGAAGGCGAGAGGCAGGAGTGGGGCCAAGGAGGTGGCGGCACGGAGAGGGGGGAGTGGGCGGGGGGCTGGTGCATCGGGTGGTGGGCCTGGCGAGGATCGCCGCCGGGAGGAGCAAGATGAGCCCGCGGACGTTGACGTCTGCCCGAGCCCGCAACCCTCCCGCAAGGGCCCCAAGAGCCCTCCGCGTGACGATGCCGGACAGCAGCAGAAGGCCAAGGACCACTCGGCCAGATCCAGCGATGAGCCCTTGGGGGGCAACCGCGGCCGACTCAAGCGACGCAAGACACAGAAACTTGTTGGCCCGTCTGTTCCCCTGGCGTCCCAGCCGGCGCCCGTCGCCATGCCGCCTGTGGGCCCACAGCCAGGCGAGGACGACGGTGACATGTTCGCCATCGAAGAGGAGGAGGAGCAGCGCCGCCCTCCAGCCGCTGCCCGCCGCAGCAGCAAGCCACCGTCGGGACACCGATCCGACGACATGGTGCCCGCTCCGGCTCTCAATCGCGAGCGTCGCCGTAGCATCGCCCCTGGCCGCCAGGTACAGTCTCGTGCTGAAGACTTCGGCCCTCTGGACGGCCTTGACCTCTTTCAGATGGGAGAGGACGACGAGGCACCACCAAAGCCACCCAGGGCGTCCCCTGCAGCTGCTGCAGCTGCGGCACCAGCATACCGTCGACAGAATGACCGGACAGCAGCAGCAGCAGCAGCAGGTGGTGGGATGGGGGAGGCCGCTGGTGCGTCTAGGATCGGTGCGTGGCCTGTCGACGGAGGTGGCGGTGGTTGTGGCGGTGGTGGTGAGGAGGAGGCTGTGTTTGAGGCTGTGTCGCTGGATTGTGTGGGTGCCAACATCTACAGCAAGGACAGGCTTAGCTGCAAGCAGTCGAGGGCGCTGGCGTCGGGCAACGTGGGGGCGCTGGACCGCATTGCTGCGGGGACGGGAAGGGGAGGTGCGGCAGATAGCGGGAGGGGGTTGGCGGACATGGTCATAGCTATGCAGGAGGGCGAAGGGGCAGCCGGTGGGAATGTCGGCAAGGGCGGCCGCGGGTATGGGCCGGGCATCAAGAACAGGGTGAGTCAGACAGTGGGTGCGGGGCGGGGTGGATAATGGACGGCTGGTCTGTCTGTCTGTCTGTCTGTTGTGTGTGTGTGTGTGTATGTGTTTCTGGATGCAGTGGGACCACTGGCGACATCTGCTGCTGTCGGGCTTCTCGCTGTGCTTCTACGGCTTCGGCTCCAAGAAGAAGCTACTCAGAGAGTTCGTCCAACAGGGTCTCGCGTGAGCGTCCATCCTTTACCATTTGCACATCTACCGACACACCTAACCTACACACACATGAGTCCCATCCCTGTCTGTCTGTCTTCATTCACTGTCACTCCATCCATCCATCCATCAGGCCGCGTGAGGGCAACTGCTTCGTCGAGGTCTGCGGCTACGACAGCCGTCTGCTGGTCTCCCCGGCCGCCACCTCCCCCGAGCCCCTGCGAGCACCGCTCGAGAGGATGCTGCGCGACTCGGCGCAGCGGACCTTCATCATCCCCCAGCCAGAGGAGGAGACGTCAGAGGGGCGGAGGGACGAGGTGAGGGAGGCCCATCGGGTGCTGCAGAGGCACCACACCAATCTGACACACTCTCACCACACATCCAATAATGCTGACGACATGGCGACGGTAGTAGAGGTACGTAGGTGGGTCAGGTCAGGAGGGGAGAGAGAGGAGGTCAAAGTGGCGAGCAGTGAGTGCTTTCTTTGGTGGGCTGTGTTTGATGGTGACACATGTGGCTGTGTGTGGTGGGGTGCGTGTGGCGATTGATTGGTATATTCAGGAGTTCCTGTGCTGTGTGCGGGGGTCTCGGCAGCCGACGGTGCTGCTGGTGCACGGCCTCGACAGCACGCCACTGACCGACCCACAGACGCGCCAATACCTCACCCAACTCGCCAAAGAGCCAAAAGTAGGTACCAACCGACGCCCGCGTCTCGACACTGACCGACCCTCACCCTGCTGCAACACATACATACATGTGTCTGTCTGCCTGTCTGTGTGTCTTGTCTGTGCAGCTGTTGTTTGTAGCATCTGTCGACAGGGTGGACTTCCCCTTTCTGTTCGCGCCGTCTGACCTGCAGGCCTACAACTTCTACTACACACAAGCACACACCGGCCTACAATACCTGTGAGTGAGCAACATGACCAACACAACGAACGCATCCCATCCCATCCCATCCAATGAATGCAATGCAACCTATACCTCCTCGAGTGGTTGGTTCTATTTATTGATTGATCAGGTGTGAGGTGGCGGGGTCTCTGGGCGATACCGAGCCCAGCTGGTGGAGGAAGATGCGGCCGGTGCAAAGGAAGAAGGCCAGGGCGGTCCGCCTCTCTGCCCCAGCCAAGGGCCAGGGTGGTGGGCGCCGGAGGGCTTCTCGCAACAGTGACAATGACCATGGCAACGACGGGCAGGGTGTAGATATGGACATAGACGACTGACTGACTGACTGACTGACCTGCCTGCTTACGCGCTCATTCCTTCACCATTCATGTCATGTGCTGTGCTGGGGTGTGGTGCTGTGGTGCGGTGTGCATTCACTGCGTGTGCACACTGTGTGTGAAGATCGATCGACATGTCGGATGAGTAGACTTTGTTTGGGGTGTGGTGTGTTGTGTTGTTCGTATGTGACTGACTTGGATGGGATGGGGTGTACGGAGGAAGGTCTGTTGGATAGACACATACTCATTGGAATGACCTGACTGACCACATACATTTGGTTGACAAACGAAAGGGACGGACGGCAATCTGACTGATTCCACACGCACGCACGCCTAACCCAAAAACCAACTCATTCATGTCTGTCTGTCTGTCTGTCTCTGTCTGTCTCTGTCTGTCTGCACTCATCTCTCTCTCGCCACACCAGACGACCAGATCCCATCACACCACAGTCAGTCCACCACAGCACGAACGAAACAGCACATGAGCACTAGCGCTTCCGTCTGCTGTCGTCCGCCTCTCGAGCGTCGCCACTGTTTTCGTCCATCTGCATGGCCGCCATATCAACCTACACACACACACACACACACACACAGAGTCAGACACACACTTTGAAAGCACAGCTCAGATGACAGACACTCAGCCTGCCTGCCTCGGTGCCCACAAACATACATGCTGTTTGAACACTGGCCAGTCGACCTCCCCCGAGCGATCCTTCCGCAGCCCCAGCCTTTCCAGCAGCCCCGGCCCCCTCCCGCCACCATCCCTCGCGCCACCCAGCCACGGAGGGCTCAGGTTCAGACCCGTCAGCAGCTGACCCGATGGCCGCTGGGAGCCGTCCCAGCTCCTCAGCTCATTGCCCATCGACGGCTGGTTAAGCTGGTGTGTCTGAAGCTGCCTTCTCCGCTCTGCGTGTCGTGTTGCCCACGACTGCAGCTGCCGCGAGACGTCCTCTTTGCGCAGGTAGAGCTTGTCGCCGGCGAGGCTGAAGAAGAGCGCCTCGAGGGCCTCGTCCCTGATGGGCTCCTTCCACGCCGCATCGTTGACGCGCTGGCGCAACTCAGGACTGTCCTGAACACACACACAAAGCAACACACACACAAAGCACCCAACTCAACTTACTTTTACGTGACTCTCCACCCCATATATAGCTTCTCTGGCTGGCTGGCTGGCTGCACGCCCCACGCATTCACCGGTTCCCTCGAGAAGCCCTTTTCGTAACTGTAGAGGAGGTAGAAGGGGAACTTGGCCTCCTCGGGCCACCTGAACGGCAGCTGCTGCACACACGCCTTAAACGACCTCTTGCTCAGTACGGGCTTTTCGTCAAACAGCGCCTCCCACCGTGGCGGTGTGCCGCCGCCCATGACGCTCCCCGCCCGCCGGGTCCGCACTGCCGTGGACCAGTCCGCCGTCTGCTCGGCCAGCCGGCCATAAATCTTGATCAGATCTTGGACTTCGTAGCGGAACTTGGGGTCAGCCGAGTAGAAGGTGGGGTCAAAGGTGCTGCGGAAGGCGATGTTGGGCGGCCGGTGGCGGACGGCTGACGAGAGGACGGGCAGGAGGGCACAGAGGGAGAGGAAGGTTGGGAGCAGGGGAGGAGGAGGCGATGAATGAATGGCTGACGCACGGGACTCGCACTTGCTGGACTGCTCGGCAGTAGCTTCCTCTCTATCATGGCTCATCGGATCTCCTCTCGCCCTGGTCATTTCCCGCGCAAGCTCACTTGCGAGCTGACGAGGCGAAGGAGAGAACGAAAGCGGCGAATTTCTCCTCGCTGTGATCTGTCGTGAGGCTCTGCGCTGAGTGCAGAGCGACCGCACCACTTTCGAAGCCCAGATTGACCCAGCAGAAGCACGCCCAGCTTCGACTGCCCGACGTCAGACGACTGACGGCGTGAGCCAGCATCCTGCAGCACGGACGCTAGAATGGCATTGAAACGCATCAACAAGGTGGGAGCAGAGCACCGGACGGCGGATCTGTGGCGGATTTGTGTCTCGACGTGTCTGTCTGCTGCGTCGTGTCGTCTGATCGCAGGAGTTGCAGGATTTGGGCAAGGATCCGCCAGCCAACTGCTCGGCGGGTCCGATCGGCGACGACATGTTCCACTGGCAGGCCACCATCATGGGACCTTCCGACAGGTAGGCACCGACCTTTGGGGCACACACACACAGCGATGGCTGGGACACTGGATGGATGGACACACACATCCCCCTTTGTCGTGTGTGTGTGTGTGTGTGTGTGTGTGGTGAGCAGTCCGTATGCGGGCGGTGTGTATTTCCTCAACATTACGTTCCCCAGCGACTACCCTTTCAAACCACCGAAGGCACGAACGAACACACACACACACACAGAGGGAGAGAGGCCGTCCATCCCTCCATGTGTCCCTCTCAGGTGAATTTCACGACTCGCATTTACCACTGCAACATCAACAGCAACGGGAGCATCTGCCTGGACATCCTCAAGGACCAGTGGAGCCCCGCACTCACCATATCCAAGGTCCTGCTCTCCATCTCATCACTACTCACCGACGCCAATCCAGGTCGGTCGGCCTGCCTGCCCGAGGCAGACGTCTACAGCGACAATTCCCCTCACGTCCACCCGTTGTTCATCCATGTGTGTGTGTGTGTGTGTGTGTGTGCGTGCAGATGATCCCTTGGTGCCTGAGATAGCGCATCTGTACAAGACGGACCGGACGCGACACGACGCCGTTGCCAGGGAGTGGACGCAGAAGTACGCCATGTGAGGGAGGGAGGGCAAGACGTGTAGGGAGGGAGGGAGGGAGATAGGAGACGAGGGAGAGGGAGGGAGCGAGGGAGGGAGGAAGGGAGAGTGTATGTGTGTCGCCCTACCTATCCCATCCACCCCCATCCACCCGCGCCACCCCACCTGCCCACTTAGATGTTTGTCTGTCCGTCCATCAGTCAGTCCATCAGCGGTGCCGTGCCGTGCCGTGCCGTGCTCACTCACTGACCGCTCGCAGCGTGTGTGCGTGCGTGTGGTGCCGTGTCACGTCGCGTCAAGTCGTGGCTGGCTGCCAGCTGTGGATATGATACGACATATATAAGTATGTCTGGTTGGGTGGGGGGGGCCTTGTGGTGGGTGTGGCGACGGTTGCTAGCCGAATGAATGGTGGGTGGGATGAAGAGGGTGGGGTGGGGGGCATCTGGCTGGTGCGCTGCGCTGTGCTGTGTGTGACGCGATAGACGGACATCACGGCGGCTGCGTTTCTTGCACGGAAAGCCACGGGGATGGATGGGTATCGGTGTGGATGTGGATGTCCTCTAATGCTCTCTTCCTCTCTGTCTGTCTGTCCGTCTGTCTGTCTGCCTTTCCGTCCGTCTGCTCGGCTCTCTGTGTCTGTCTGTCTGTCTGTCTGTGGGTGTGTGTCAGTCTGGTGTGTTAATCTGGTTTTGACGCTGGTTGTACAGTCGTGAGTTATGATAATGGGAATGATTGTTGGTAAATCAATAGACGACCCGACTAGCAAACAACACAATAATACAATCGCATGCCGGGTGTCTGGCTGCCTGCCTGCCCGCCTGCCTGATAGAGATCGACCAGTGGGGGGGTGGTAGGTAGGCAGTGAGTGAGTGAGTGTTTTTGTCCCCTTCCAATTTTGCCAAGGACAGCGCAGAGGCAGCATAGCGGCGCCACTGTAACGGTCGGGCAGGTGGTGGGCCGGCGCAGCTGGTGCCTTCTCTGCATGGAGGGGGCGGCACGCACCGAACCGAACCGAACCGCACTGCAACGTCGCCTCTGGCCTGGCGGATTGGCTGGCTTGTCTGTCTGTCTGTCTGTCTGTCTGTCTGTCGAGTGGCTGGCATGCGTCTTAGCTGTATCATTCTCCGACCCCCTCCCTTTTCTCTCTCTCTGTCGATTGAGTGTATGTGTGCCTCCCTCCTGTCTGCGTACCTCGTTTAAGATCCCTCCCGCGTCAGTCTGTCCGTCCGTCCGTCCCTTCGTGTGTGGTGGATGAGATGAGCTGCATGGAATGGCTGGATGGATGGATGGATGCGCATATCTAACGAATGAATGAGTGAATGGTGTGCGTGAAGGTGAGTGGGGTGTGTCGTGTCGGCCGGTGGGGTGTGGGGTGGGGTGGGCGAGGACTCATGCATGGCGTGCGTGAAGGCCAGTGTGTTGTCTGCCGCGTAATTCATCTACCTACCTCTGTCGATCCTCGCTGGCCTTCCCCGACTGACTGACTGACCGACTGGCTGACTTTCTTCCTCTTCCCTCCTCTCTCTGGCTCTCTCTCTCTCGGGTAGCGTGGGGGTCGGCATGCTTGAGCGTCACACCATACAATCGATGGAGTGTAGATCGAATCCCTCGTCCATCCAGGTTCCCTCCCTCCCTCCTCCTCATTATTCCCTCCCTTATTTTGTCCTCTAAATGCGTTCATCCAGTGCGTGCGTATGTATGCCCTGCCGTGAGGCGCCAGGGCGGGCGGGGGGGCCGGCTGGGCAGGGGCGGCCCGGCTAGGCTACCCCCCTCCCCTCCCCACACAAGCTTACCTTACCTTGGCTTGTATGCTGTGGACGGATGGCTGTTACATGTATAATCTGATTTCACTCATCGTATCGTATGGCTGCCAGTATTAGTGTGATTGACACATGTCATGTGTGTGTCTCGTCCATCCACCACCCAGCCACCCAGCCACGGCCCTTTAAAGCACTCTGTCGGTATTTCCGGTCCACACAGCGAACGAACACACACTACAGGCAGGCAGGCAGACCCACGAGCATCGACACGCACACACACACATCCAGCCATCACCACACACACGACAAGTAAATAACACTGATCAATCCATCCATCCATTCATTCATTCGTCCATCGGTCAGTCAGTCGGGCGGGCGTCAAATAAACAAAAGCAAAAGGGAAGTGGGGTGGCGTACGCGCGTAAGTCACCGACTCACTCATTGCAGTATACAGAGCGGTTCCGCCCGTGCATGCAGGCGCGTCCGACTGCACCCCACCTCATCTCAGCCACTCCCCTTGGCCGCCCCTCCCCCAGCAGCAGCCGACCCCCCTCTCGCTATGGTACTCTGCCAGTACTTGATGGCCTTGTTGAGCGCGTCGCTCACGGCCACAAAGGACATGCTTTCCACGGCCGCATAGGCCACCTTGTCGACGCCGGTGGGCTCCCGGTAGCGCACCAAGAAGGCCCGCATGGTGCTGTTCCACTCTATGGGGTACCTGCTGCTCGGGGGGACCACCGCACTCTGAGCCACCTCCAGCAGCTGCTCCGCCACACCCAGCGGCGGCGAACCTGAAACACAAAACCCAGATCCATCCGTTCACAGAGAGAGAGAGAAAGAAAGAGGGGATCGTTCACTCACTCACCGTCCTTGTCCCTCTTGGCTCGTTTGCGCCGCCCGATGGCCAGCATGGCGTCCTCCGACGGTGTCTCGTCGCTGTCCCTCTCCGCCCCTGTCTGCCTCGGCCGCTTCGGAGCCACCTGCCCCTGGTGGTTGTTGAAGAAGGCCTGGGCGCTGCTGCTGTGCCGCTCTGACTCGTTCTCATCCTTCTCATGGCCCTGATTATTGGAGGCGGCGGCGGCCATGGCCGCCATGAGGGGATTGGCCGCGAGCAGCCGGCAGTATACCTCGGTGAATGTGGCCACCTCCAGCAGAATCGACCGCAGCTGAAGGCGCAGCGACCCGTGCAGCGGTGCCGTCGACCCTGTGCGGGCGGAGGGGTCATTGGTCGACCAGAGGATGAGCTGGCGCACACTGCCGAGGAGCGTCTTGGCCTCGTCGAGCTGGGCGCGGCGGTGTGCGAGTGCGATGTGGAGGGCCGCGTGGACGGCGGGGGGGTCCGGGGAGGGATGGGAGAGGGGGACGTAGCGACGAGAGGGGCGGGGGTGGATCGACACACTGACCAGGAAGCGGCCGTGGGGGGTGGTGGTGCCGTAGCCAGGCTCCCAGTAGATGAACGTCTCCTTGCCCATCCAAGCCTGCACACACACATACATTCGACAGACACAGACACAGACCTTGACCTTGACCTTGACCTTGAAGGACCTTTCCTCGCTACGCTACATGTTTAAGCCGACATGAGACCCCCACCTGAGCAAAGGCGTCAAGGTCGTCGGCCATCTTGTCCACCCTTTCCTTCTCCCGCTCGTGCAGCACCCGCAGCATCCCCTTGGCCATCTCCTCGGCCGTCCCCCCGACCGCCGCACCCTCCACCTCCTCAAAGGGCAGCTCTACCACGTCATGATCATCTGGCGCACTCGGCCGACGCACAGCAGGGACTATCGCCGAACTGGTACCTGCCGCTTCTGCTGCTGCCGGTCCTGCTGCCGACGCACCGTTGGTGAGCTCAGGCGGCGCAGGGAGGGCCGGGAAGACCAGAGAGGGCGACGGCTCTGAAGCAAGCAACCATGGACACCGTTGCAAAGCACAGCACAAGTAGGCCGCCTGCTCTGTTTGCTATTCTGGGAATGATCACCTTCTGGCTCCTGCAGTGGCGGTGCCGCCTCCATCATCGGCTCCTCCGGCAGCGATATCGCCTCCAGCAGGCTCGTCCCCGCCGCCTTGGCCGCCCTCACCTCAGCCAGCGCCTCCTCGGCCGACTGGCCCACAAACAGCCGCCTCAGCCGATTGCGCGTGTCGTGAAGCCTGTCGAAGAGCCGGGTCAGGCGGGCGGGCGTGACGTTGTCGATGTCAGGTATGACAATGGGAATCGTGTCTTTGAGGGGCTGCTTGCCGACGCAGTGGCCGGGGAAGTGGAAGAAGGCGATCTGCCGGCCGCGACCGACCCACTTCATGTTGGGATCGCGGCGCACCATGAAGGTCTTCTTGCCGGGGCGGAGGCGGGTCAGGCCGTCGTGATCAGCTGCACACATAGAGAGAGAGAGAGAGAGAGCGAGGGAGGGAGGGAGGGAGCGGTTGGTGTTGTCTGTTGGTGTTCTGTGTGGCCAGTCGCCTGCCTGACCTTGGCGCTGCATGTACTCGGCCATGTGGTGCCTTATCTGCTCGGGCGACAGACGATCACCTGGTGCAAACATCCATCCACCAGCCCATTCATTCACCCGACCCACGGGGCGTCTCTGTCTGTCTGTCTGTGTGCGTTTCGCGTCTCGTTGTTGTGTCAGTCACCTGTGTTGTCCGCTGTCTCCGCCCCAAGGCGCTGAAGCACCTCTGTGGCCTCGTCGATGACCTCCTGGGCCAACGCCGCGTCGTCCTTCAGCTTGGCACACGCACCATCGACCAGAGCCGACTCACCCTGACACAACATCCATCGCGGACATACACACACGTGTTGGTTGGAACCGACAGCCACTCTTGTTTCTCTCCTCCTCCCCCTCCCCCCTCACCGCAGGGAAAGGTGCCTCTTTGTTGACTTCGGGTTTGGCGGCCAGCTCGTTGGCCGACTTGATGGCGTCTTTGAGCGAAGCCACCACGTCAAGCGGACCGGTGCCCTTGGGTGCGATGTGGTGCACCGCAATTTTGCCCGCCACCTGCACCAGGAACTCATTCTTGACCCAGCGGACGACCCGCCGGCCCCTAAACGTCGTGGCAGGGCCAGACTGGCGCCTCCGCCCTGGGCCTGTGCCCTTCCCCGCCGCTGTAGCTGATGGCGTGCCTGAGGGGGTGGTGCCTTCTGCTGGTGTGTGCGGGTCCTGGTGGACGATGTCGAGCAGACGCTCCACCAACTGGTCGGTGGGGTAGTCAGGGCTGTTCTCCGTCTCGGCACCCTCGGCAGCGGGATCGGGCACAACGGGGTACTCTGCCCACACAGACACACACAGACACACAGACACAGCGAGAGAGAAAGATGAGCGTGCAGCTCTATGTCGGCATCATGGTCGGTCGATGCGTCTGTTCTGTTTCGTGGCTGACCTCTAGGCCTGGCCTTCTCGAACTTTTGCCCCTCTGCCCGCCGCATCTTCCATAACCCCTTCTTGCCGCCGCCCTGTGCGGCCGAGGGCGTCGCCCCATCAGCTGCAGAAGCGGCCGCAGGGCTCATCGTCCCGTCCTCTATCGCCAAACTGTCACCGCTGCCCCAGCGCACGTGGGCAGCATGACCCTCAAACACATCACCACCCGCCGCCCCCCCGGCGCCCTCGTCCTCCCTGGCCGCCTGCCGTCTGTTCCACGCTTGTAGGGCGGCCTGCAGAGCCCGCCCGATGCCGTCGATGGTGGGCACCAGGACCGGGAAGTGTCTGCGGGACCGTCTGTCGGCTGCGTGGCCCGTGACGCAGTAGAGGCGGCACTCGGCGTCCCAGTGGATGCCAATCGGAGAATCGGAGGGCGGGATGGGTGTCTCGAGGAGAGGGGGACTGAGGGCTTTGCGGAGGGCCTCCTGGGCCGCCTTGGTCAGGTCCGTGTCGTCCTCGAAACACACGCGGGGGGACGGGGCATCGCCACCTGGCGACATGCGACCGACCAGAATAGACAGAGAAAGGCCAACCAGGTGATCTGTCGTGTGACCGTTTGTTTGTTGTGGTGAGGCTGACCGACCTTCTCGCTTGAGAGTCTTGATCCCGTCAAACTGTCTGAAGAACTTCTGGTCGTCGTCCTGCACCCGCGCCGCCTCCAGCATGGTCTCCATCCGGAGCTCCTCAAGCACCCCATCGACCTCCACGTCACCACCCATCGCTCGCTTCGCCTCGTCCGCCTCGTCCATCGCCTGCACGTCCTCATTCCGCGCCTCCACGGCCCTCCGGAACGTGCTGATGGCGGCCTCGACGGTCGGGGGGTCGACGGGGAACACCGTGGGCATGTCGCGAATGAGGGTGACGTATGCCTGGCTGGGGGCCGACCAGCCGAAACCCGGCACGATGTGCTCGGTGTGGGGGGTGAGTCGGTCGCTGAGGAGGTCGTTGAAGGCGTTGAGCTCATCCGATGACATCCGCCGGCCTAGAGGCGGCACCACTCTCATGCCTGCAAACCAACCACACCATACCGACCAAACCAACACACACACATGAACACAGACAGACAGACAGACAGACGGCCGGTGATTTGACATGCACTCGTTTGCTCACCCGACACGACAGGGAAGGTCTCCCCTTTCATGTATGTGTTGTCGCGGCACTCGAAGGCCTCCACGCAGCAGTGCCCTATGTCGCGGACAGTCAGCGTTCTTGCAGTGAACTGCTTCACGTGCGCGTTGGTTGGCGCGGCACTCGGCGTCGGCAGGCAGAAGACCTCAAAGCTGATGCTCTCCAGCACCATCGTCTTGGTCACGTAATGCAGGTGCCGCGCCACACGCACCTGACGACTCTGAGGCGAGGTCGCCCGTGAAGACAGCCCACGAGCGGCCAGGTTGCTCGCGCAGAGCATGTTGGCGACCCTGAGGGCGTCGTCGGTGGTGAGGCAACCGCCGCCACTGGGCCTCCCGGGGCTCTCGACGGTGCCCACGATCATTTCGCCACTGTCGCCCTGGCCAGGCCGCATCATCAGCCGCAGTATCTCGGTGCCGACTTTGGCATTGAGCGGCATGGCCTTCTTCTGCGCGTCCACGGCCTGCTGGTAGGCCACTGCCAGCGATGTCGTCGACGCGTCCTTGCGAGCGAAGGCGCGGAAGTATCTGGGAGGGTGGGTGTTGAGGACCTCCTGCTGGCTCTTGAGCACCACGCAGTAGCCTTGCACGCTGTGCGGGTGGCACCGCCGCAACCCATCGCTGCCGTTGGCATCCTCTGCCGCGCTGATTGCCGACGCAGCCCGGAGGGCCTTGCCCTTGGGCGTGTCAGAGTGGCCGCCGCGTTTCGGTTTCGGTCCTGGTCTGGGGGGCTGGGGCGGGGGTGCAGCAATGGGTGGCGGCACTGCCGTCGTCAGGTCAACGACCTCTATCTCATCGTCCATCTGGTCATTAGCCTGGCCCTCCGGCGGCTGCTGCTGCTGCTGCTGAGTGTCCATTATCTGCCTACTTTTTGCCGTTGGCGGGAGGGGCTTGGGGGGGTGGCTGGGGCTGCTCCGCGTCGCGCTTCTTCAACAGCCGCTCTCTGGCCTCCTGTGCGGCAGGGCTGGCGTAGGTACAGTTCTCCACCTCTCGCTCAACCTCTTGCTGCAATCAATCAACCATGGCCATCAGAAAGGGGCAGGGCAGCACTGTGGGGTGGGAGTTGTCCTCTCCTTCCTGCCTGCCTCCCTCCCTCCCTGGAAGAATGGTGTGGGGTGTTTATGCGCGGACCGACCTGGAGGAACTCAGTGACGTTTTCGTTGCAGAGTACGTGGCAGTCGTCAAGCTTCTGGATGATGAAGTTGCGCTCACTGTTGAGCCGGGTGATGATCTCCATCGTCGGCTCGTCGCTGACGCATGGATGAATGGATGGACAACACACACACACACACACACACACAGGGGCAGTCAACGAGGACCACCACCAGGAGTGAGTGCAGCGATGGCCTGTGTGTGCGCGCGTGTGCCTCCATCGCATGCACCACGCGCACGGCCTGGCCTGCTCTCTGCTCGCGTGCTTGTGCATTCGTGAATCCATCCACTTGCATGACGGATGAGTGAGTGGTGCGCTCACCATTCGACAAGAATGCCCTTCATCGACTTGACCTTCCCCGCCATGACGCGCTGCTACCCAGGTGGCTGTCCGGCCTCCACACCGCATATACGCTGCACGAAACGAGCTCAAACACACCGACGGGGCGCTTGCAAAAGATGCGCGCTTCATCTGCGGCTCGCACCTTCGAGCCAAGGCCAGAAGCGGCAGACGCGCGTGTGTTTGGGAGACGCCTGCAGGAGGAGGCGCGTGATCTGATCCGGGGTGCGGCAAACACGCAAATCACGCACACGTAGGATCAGACCCACATCGAGGCAGGGAGGCCAGGGCAGGGCAGGGCAGACGCGGCACAATTTTCTACAGCACAGCAAGCACCGCGCTACCCATGCCCAACGTGCGGGACGACACACCCTGTGTCCTTTTCGCTGTGCTGATCTGCTTTGTCAGGTGTGTCTACTCTACCACAGTAGGCAGGCTACAGCTGAGCTGAGATGGCACTCAAGAGAATCAACAAGGTAGGCGCTCAGGCAACCACACATCGCTGGGAGCGGGAAAGGCGAGTTTGTGGGTGGGTGGACGGGGGAACGCTGTGTGGTGTCGTGGCCATCGGCACTGAGACCTGTGATGTGTCTGATTGCAGGAGTTGCAGGATTTGGGTAAGGATCCGCCAGCCAACTGCTCGGCGGGTCCGATCGGCGACGACATGTTCCACTGGCAGGCCACCATCATGGGACCTTCCGACAGGTACCTTGGTACCTTTGGGGCACACACACACAGCGATGGCACACTGGATGGATGGACACACACATCCCTCTTTGTCGTGTGTGTGTGTGTGTGTGTGGTGAGCAGTCCGTATGCGGGCGGTGTGTATTTCCTCAACATTACGTTCCCCAGCGACTACCCTTTCAAACCACCCAAGGCACGAGCCAACACCATCACCCACCCACACAGAGAGGGAGAGAGGCCATCGATCCCTCGCTCCCTCCCTCCCTCTCTCCCCCCGCCCCTCTCAGGTGAATTTCACGACTCGCATTTACCACTGCAACATCAACAGCAACGGGAGCATCTGCCTGGACATCCTCAAGGACCAGTGGAGCCCCGCACTCACCATCTCCAAGGTCCTGCTCTCCATCTCATCACTACTCACCGACCCAAACCCCGGTAACCAAGCAAATCAATGACACACAAACCTTTTCCCTTTTGGATCCAGCTGGCTGTGTGGGTGTTTCCGTGTGTGTGAATGTCATGTGTGTTTAGATGATCCGCTGGTGCCTGAGATAGCCCATCTGTTCAAGACCGACCGCGCCCGCCACGACGCCATTGCGCGAGAGTGGACGCAGAAGTACTCGATGTAGCCGCCCACCGATGGACCAACACCAAGGCACACCGAGGTCGGTAGCTAGATGCACCACCACCACCAAGAGACATGAAACGTCTTAGATCTCTCTCTCTCTTTCCCTCTCTCTCTGTCTCTCCCCTTCCCAGGTGCGTTGATGTGAGCATGACTGTCCGTCTGTCTGACTGTCCGTGCAGGCCGGTCGCGGACCAGACCGGTGTGTGGATGCATGTGAATGAGTGAGTGAGTGAGTGTACAGTACAGTCCAGCCAGGGTCCAATCCATTGGAAGGAGCCTCTGTTAGCTATCTGCCCAGCTAGCCAGCCAGCCTTCAAGCCAGGCCTCCATTTTTTTCTCCACGAGCTGTCGACCGACCGACCGACCACCTGCCCACCCCACCCCCACCGACCGTGAGAATGGATAACCAAGAAGAGCCTTTCTGTCAGTGCGCACAGCGAGGCAGGCAGGCAGGCAGGCTGTGTGTGTTGTTTGCATTGGATTGCATTGCCTCAGTGAGTTTGTGTGTGTGTGTGTGTGTGTGTGTGCCCGTGCCTTTGTGAGAGAGTGTGAGAGTGTGCGAGTGGCGAGTGTGTTGTGTCGTTTGTGTGACTAGCTACCGGACCTGTAATCGATACATACATACCTCATCCGCCGTCGTCTTTTTGCCATCGATCGATCACGCACCTTGTGTGCAGCTGTCTCACTCACCTCACCCTGCGTACCACGGACACAACAGATGCAGCAATTCCATGGCCGGATCGATCGGCTTTTGTACTCAGTCAGATCGATACAAAGCAGGAAGGAGAGGACCGTTCTCTGAGCAAGCAAGCAAGCAAGCAGTGAAGCAAGCAGACGTCCACGCGTGGGACACAATGAGGGCGTGCGTCTTCAAGTTGGCTGCTGCGGTTCTCGTGTCTCTCACCATCGCGCACGTGCACTCGGCCGAGCCCGCTGCAAAGTCCGGCGAGGAGACACAGACACAGACACGCCAGCCATGCCAAACCACCATCATCAACAGCTACAACCCTGGAGGTACGCAAGCTGCTGGTGTGATGTGACTGACACAAGGAAGGCAACCCAACCACTGCTTGTGTGATTGTGACTGATCGATGATGCATCCAGGCAATACGAGTGTGACGGTGGCTGACAAGCAAGCCCAACTCCACAGTACGCCGAAGCTCACATGTAGCTAAGCACCCACCAGTCAATCAGACACACACAACCACAGCTGGTACAACCAATCAGACACATATATATGCTCTCTCCTCTCCTTCTTGATTATATGTGGCAGACCCGTCGGCCAAGCACCAGCACCAGCCCGTTGTCCGCTTCAGCGCGAAGTCCACGGTGTCCGCTGACAGCCACGGCCGCAAGCGGCACCGTCGTCCCTTCCGCCTCACATTAGCCCCTGAGCTGCGCGCGTGGCTTGACCAGAAATGTGAGATGGGTGAGTGAGTGAGTGAGTGTACAGTCATGAATCCTCGTCGAGTCGTCAGAGTTCGGCAATGCGAGGTTCGTCGTTGGGCGCCTCGTCAGCAGCTGCAGGGGCGGAAGTAAGCACACACAGAGGGGCAAACCATGGCGTTTGTGCATCGTATGCGTGTCTGTGTCTTTATGTGTTCAGCTGCAAGTCTCGTGCTCGGCACAGTGCCGACGCTTTTACCCAAAGAGACGGCGGCCCTCGGTAGCCGACACACACGTGCAGCAGACACACACACAGGTCGCGTGCAGTGCATGGAGAGGATGCGCATCATGATCTGTCGTGTGAATGTGTTCTTCAGATTCGTTGTGCAAAGACGCTGCGCACGACGACTATTACTTCTTCAACAAGTACTCGTTCCTGTCAGAAGTGCAAGTCGGTCCAGGGTTTAGGGTCTAGGGTTCATAGACCGACGATCCACTGATCTGTGAGACAGGACGGCTGTTGAGTCTTTGTCCGTTCCATGAGACAGGCCATGGCGGACAGGACGTCAGACAGGATGGACTGACGCATACTACATGTCCTACGTGGACTCTCCACAAAAATCCACAGACCTTACGTTGCATTGACTTAATCCTTTATCCGGGACTGACCGCCCGGCAGATCCTCTCTTCACCATTCTCCCCGACTCTCTCCCACCTATTCTTACACCCTCAGCTTTTCTCCTGACGAGCTCAGCTTTTCTCCCTTCTGCGAGCTTAGCTGTTGTGGAGAATGGTCCCTCTCCCCCTTCTCTCCTCCTCCTCCAGATTTGTCTGTTGGCGCCCACAGAAAGCCATGCTGAAGCAGGATTCATCGGGCGGCGTTTTCTCGTGGAGCCGCAGTCGAGTCATAGTCGTCACAGTTGGCATGCTCGCCATCACTGTGGCCGTGACGGCAACGCTCTGGTTCCTGGAACTGCTGCCACCGAAGCGCAAGCGGCGGCCCAAAAGATCTGTTCCTCGCGCTGGAGTGTCGGATGACTTTGACGGAGCGGCGGCGGCAGTCCGCAAGTGGAGCCACACACTGTCGACGGAGAGCCAGTTGTCCCTCTACGGTGAGAAAAGGAAGCGCAGAGCACGCTACCGCAGACAGAAATTTGTCCGTGCGTGTCGTTCTTCCATTTTTCAGCTCTCTACAAGCAGGCCATTGAGGGTGACTGTTTGGAACCCTCACCGTCGCCCGTGGACGTGGTGGCCATCCAGAAGTGGCGCGCCCGGCAGGCTACCCGCGGCCTTCCTCGTTCGGAGGCCTCTGAGCGATACGTCGAGAAGGTCCGATCTCTGGTGCCGCAATGGGAGGAGGGCGATGGGGGATCTGACAGCATCTGGTTAACGGACAGTGAACTGGCGCAGATGAGGGATGCGGCAAAGGGTGATGGGGCGCCCCCGAAGGCCATGCAGGGGGGTGTGAGCATGCCGGCACATGCAGAGGGCGACAGTGATGAAGATGGGCAGGAAGACGGATTCCAGAAGAGAGAGGGGTACCCACATTTCATGTGCACAAGAGCATCAGGGGTGGGGGAGGGGGCCAGTCAGCAACCTCGCATCTCGTCTTTCCCGTCTCTTTCAGTGGTCCGGGTGACAAGGTGTGTCGGTTGGCCGCCAAGGGCGACCTGGAGAGACTCAAAGCCGCGATCGACGGTATCTGTGACAGACACATGCAGCGGCAGACAGACAGAAGGGCACACTGACAAGATGGCATGCATGAAATGCGATGCAGGTGACCGTTCGCTCGTCAGTGGCCGTGACAGTCAAGGGATGACGGCACTGCACTTCGCCGCTGACAGGCGAGGGAGGGGAGTCATATCGATGAACGGGGGAGGAAGCCGACCATCTTGCTTCTTCGCTGGTTCGATTGCTTCAGAGGCCACGAGGCGATGGCCGCTTATCTGATCCAACAGGGTGAGCACACATCACAGCCACACAAGCACACCAGTCTACGTGTCTGTCGGCTTCACTGCAGGCAGTCCAATCGACGCCCAGGACGACAACGGGGAGACGCCTCTCCATATCGCCGTGCTCGCTGAGGTAATACGAACGCACGCCAGAGTCGGCGAAACGTGTAGCACACAGCTTGCCTCACTGCGTCTGTGCGTCTGTGAACCTGTGAAAATCTGTCAGCAAGCGGGCATCGTTCGCCTGCTGTTGTCTCGTGGCGCCAGCAGTACCATCAAGAACAACGACAACCAAGACCCGCTGATTCTGGCGGATGAATCGTCCGAGGCTGTGCGTGACGCTCTCACCTGGCAGATGGTTGCGTCTGTCCAAAAGTGATGCGATATCGGTGACGTGTACGTGTACGTATGCTGTACGTACGTACGTGTGTGCGTGTACATACAATAAATACATCATGTATGTATGTACGTGTGTACGTCTGTATGGAATACCTGTATGTATACATACCGATGTGGACTCTTTGTTCGATCCGTTGGTCGTCAAAATTGTAACACTGTAATCGGATCGGATGCAACGCAGCTTGCTGTAAGTCGATCGGTACATGTATGTACGTACGACATCCATCCATCTATCTGTGGATGTGATGTGACACCAACACACGCACGCACGGAGGCAGGTAGGCACCCGCTCACTCAATTGATTGCACGACACGAATCCACTCCATGCCCGCAAGCATGATAATAGCCAGACGAATCATAGCATCGCATCGCATGACACGCATGGCTGTACACATGCCGTATGAGGATGTCCGCGAGGGGTATGCTATGTATGGCTGCCCTGGAGTGAGGAATCGAGCCAGTCAGTCAGTCAGTCAGTCGTTGAGTGAGTGAGTAGTGCCAGCACGACACGCCAGAACATTCACACACATGCATATGGATCGACACACGTACACGTACAGACATAATACATACGGACAGGCATATGGACAACCGAGAAAACCGACCGACCGGGTCTGGTCTAGCTACGACAAAATGAACTGAACCCCAAAGACACGACAGGCTCCCCGCTGACGCTGCGATGTACGATAGACATACGATGTACACTGCCGACCGACAGGTATGGCTGGCTGGCTGGCTGTCGGCCTCTGCATACACACACATACATGGGATGTACGCGTGTGTGTATGGGTGAGGTCCGGATCCGGCCATCCATCCATCCATCCATCCATCGGCGATATGATGGCATGGCATGGTCACTGATGCTCGTGATCATATATGGAATTACAGGCATGTCACGTCCTACACGCACGCACACACGCACGCACGCCGGATGAAAAAGAGGATATGTTTCTTGACCTGCTCTCTCGCTCTCTCTCTCGCTCGCTTCTCTGGTGATGATGACAAATGGAGACCCACTGACTAACAAATGGCCTCGCTCTTTCCTGTTCTTACATCCGTACGCATTATCTCAGCTCGCTATGCTGCCGTACTCTGTACTCCCTCCGTCTGTCTGTCTGTCTGTGAGGGTGTCGCTGCATGGCTTCGTTTCACCAGGGGTCATGACCAAGAGCACTCTTCGCGTGTGACGACGCATATATGATGCGATCAATGCAGTGACTGGCCGACTGCCCGTCACCACCCATCTGTCTGCCTCTCCTCTCCTCTCGTCTATTCTCTCTCGCCCGGCCGGCAACTGAATGCACCGCCCCGCCAATCCCCCCCTGTCGCCCGCCCATCTGTGTGGACAGCGAGACAGGCGGGATTGAAGGCGGAGAACAGGCACTCGGATGTGGGCGTACGTATGGACATGGACACACACACACACACGTGGTCAGTCAGGTGTACCACCCACCATACCATCTGCTCTGCGTGGCGTGGCTGGCTGACCGACTGACTAAGAAACAAAACGGCAGGCACCAGAAGGAACGATTCCCACAACTGGACTCAGACCCCCGCACCCAACACATACACTACACGACACATGCACACCACACACACGTTGATCAGATCAAGGAAGGACACACACATCGATCCATAGGTAGAGAGACGAGAGGAGAGGAGAGGAGAGGCATAACATACACACACGCACTCACAGACAGGGCCGTTCGTTCACATTCAAACATTCAATCATCAGCCATCCACCCACCCGCGAAGGAAGAGACAAGTTTGCCAGTTGTCTGTCTGTCTGTCTGCCGTCAGGCGCCAAGTGCTGCTGCACGTTCGTGCGCTAGGGCACGAACCAAAAATCAGCCACAACATGAATGGACAGATGATAGCTGAGGAGAGAGTGAGTGAGTGCTCCTCAGCCCGGCCAAGGCTCCCGATCATCAAGCATCACCGACAGGCAGAAGCGCATTACTTAAAAGATCAACACAGACGCATGTGATTTCGTTATCGCTGTTTGACTGGGATCGACCGATCGACCAGTGTACACAACAATACGCCACACACACACACACACACACCGTAGAGGAGATAGAGAGAGAGAGAGAGAGAGAGAGAGAGGTGCCCAGGTAGGGCGGG